TGAAAATATAATTTCTTAACATTATAATTAAATGAAATTGTTTTGTTCTAAATATATGTATTTATCCCCTATGTACTCAGACTTCGTGGACACCCTGTAGAACTGTAGTAAATTTTGGTTTGCTATGAATGATCTCCAGGAATGTTGTGTAACCATTTCTACCCAGTAGTTATTACTTAACCAAATTGTTTCTTCTGCATTAGCTATTTTTTGCCGATCTTACTCATGCTTGCAAAAACGAAAAAGGAAGTAAATATTATACTTCTATAAAAGGCAAAATAAAGGAAGAGAACGTACCTGTCCAATATGATTGCACGTTTATCGAGATAATCCTGTCCTCCGCTCACAGAAAATATGTCACGTCCATCAACCATATATGGCAGTTTCCGATTTCTGGTAACGTGTACGATCTCTGATATGTTGCGTAACAAAGTTGCCATCTATAATATCTATAAATAAAACGATTTCTGTAATCCCATGCGTTATTTTTAAAAAAGAAACCTTGGGAAGGAAAGGGTTACAGGAAACGAAAAATATATCAGGCTTCTTAGAACTTTTTTGCAGAACTTTTATAAGGAAGCGGCTTCAGTTATCTACCTATTTCACTGAAAATACGAATGAAGAACGTCAGTTTAAAATGAGATTCAGCGTTTAAGCAACACTGCAGAATTGTCGCAAGACTGCAGTGCACATTTTTCTTTTTTTGCTCTCGAATAATCAAATATGCTGTGAGTAGGACTCATTCACACTGTGAATATTTGATGCATTTCTTAAATGGCACACTGGCTATGCAGAGGTTCCAAAAACGACAGAGAAATCTAAGGAAGCAAAACCTTGGGTGATCATATTTTAAAAGCAGTCTCTTCTTGATGACAAGTAATGTGAAGGTCTAACTGGATGAGCAAAATCAGATATAATGAAGCCTATCTTCGCCTCACCGCGCGTCAGCGCGTTTTTCCTCCATTAATTTGGTTCAGCTTCAGGTTTTAGGTTTCGTTCTGTACGCTAGCATGTAAAATTTCCGTACGTTCGAAATTGGGAAATAAGAAACTTGGTTAACTACTCTTCTCAGCTTTCGCTCTCGAAATTCCACAAGAAAACTCACTGAAGATGCAGGGCTGGAAAAACAAGCCCTGAGATTACTGTCACGCTTATTACAATCTTTGTGCTCATAGCTTCATTAAGAGGGTTGTTCCTCTTTAGTCAATGGAGTCGCGTGTACTAAAAACGGTTTGCCTTTTTATGGCAAACCTTGCATCATTTTACAGAATAGACTGATTTTACTCTATAATGTTGCATCCGTAAACATTGGAAAGATAAAAGATCTTTTATCTTTTGTCCTTAAAATCTTCAATCCGAATTAAACAGGCTCCTGTTTTTACCACGCCGCATATGCATCAGGCAGAAGGACAGGAAAAGTTCAAGTAAATTTAATCAGCCGAGGTCCCTGTAAACCCAGATGAGTACTTCCCACTAGCTCTCTAATCGTTACAGCATCCCGTAGAGGTCACGTATCTTTTGCATTTCATCTAGCAAGGTAGACACCCGTCCAAACCCAGAAAAACGTGGGTCTACGTTTCGGCGTTCAGCGATTTGGTAGTTTCGATCGGTGCGTACCCAAAACTGCTGCAGACTGAAAACGGTCTGCGGTAAAAAAAAATAATAAGAATTTGATAATTCTCATTTCCAAAAACATCAGTATGCATAAATAATTAACAAAAACATTTTGAGGGAAGGAAATGGGTTCCAATGAATAGCAAATGTACCTTTACTTAGCGTGCTTAATCTTTATGCTTAAATGATGGCTATAGCCATCGGGGTATACCCTGAAAGTCGAGCTTTTAAACTTAGCGTGACAAACTTTGAATTGAACATCTGTAATTTTTAGTATTGTAATACTATCCAAGCGTTGAGATTTTTCTGCTAATATACACCGTAGCATTTTCGCTTGGGCAATCTGGGGCTGGTGCTAGTTGGCAGGGTTCTTATTCCGGGGTTTGATCGTGAAAGGCTTAGAATGGACCCGAAAAACTCACACCACTTTGGTCAGTTTTAGCTAAAATTTTGCAAAAATGAAATATTGCAATATGTAATCCTCTCCCAGTATGGTCTCTCTCGCTTTATGGTAGAAAAGAATGTTAAATATAACACAAAATGGAGGACACAAGAATCCCATATATACCCAAAACAATCTACATTTGGGTCAGTGGAAGATTCTGCCAGGCACCTTGCTGATTTAGGCATACTTCAAACCACAGATTTTGCAAAAGAACGCTGAACATTTTTTTTAAATGCATATAAATCTGCTGCTGCTTGTTACCTATGTCAGAGAATGCAGTTCAGAAGACGGCTCTTAACCATCTCAAATGTTAAAGAAAATATACGGTTTCTATAATTGGATGAAAACCCAATTGTTGCTAGGCAAAGTAATAGAATGACTAACACTCTAAGTGAGAAAAGTAAGTTGTATAAATAGAACACTCGTTTAGGTCGTATTAAGGATCGAAAAAATAGTCTATACAAACAAATTTCCATTCACGAATTAAATTAGCATATAATACTTTTTATCAAATTCTTGAGATTTAACTCTCGTGTCTCTTCAATAAGAGATTCCTGGTCATTTATAAGCGCGTGCACAGTGGTCGGCTTTGAGTTCTGGATATTTTGTCTGACTCCCAAGAATGTATTGTATTCCTGTATTGGACACTTTTTCCTCCATATTCTTTCTATTAGACCTCTATTTTTTAATCAAAAGTTTGCTTCGACTGATATTTGGTCGAACCGTGAGGGGCGCTCCATAATTCCCGGCATATGTGCGTGCTTCAATGACAATTAAACTACCAGTCGTTTACACGATGACCACCGCATGAGTCTCTAGGCTGAAAACCTATGCAGCGACTTGCTTAAGATTAGGTAAGCAGTGATAATTGACGTGTGTTACATCTAACACGCGCCTGCCCGGTCTCATGCCAAAATCAAGGAGACGAGCGGCACTGTCGGGCGAGGATGGAGGACGTAGAAATTCTGCAACAAGGCGTCCTATCAAGGTTTTTGGCCCACAACAAACACCCGATTAGGGTTTTAACCAAATAGCAAATAGATGGAAACTGTGGCGTTTATTTCAGCTCTCACGCCGTGATTTTCTCTATCACACACCGCATTGTACGCCATCTGACCTAAACCACACGCATATATTCAGCCAGAAATTTGCACAACAATAGAAAAAGCACATCTGACTGGGATACCAAGAAGTGCGAATGCCATAAATGTCACATTGGGAAGGAGACATTTTTGCCTGAGTCTCCTCCTGCCAGTCACTCCACACAACTACGCACTGGCCTACCTGCGTGCTCCGAGTTATCCTATCAGTTGACAAGCTTCCAAGCCACGGCTTTTAACACATCGTGATGGCTTCGGGTTTGTCATACTGTTTATAGTGACTAAACTGCATTGAGCCGTCGACTTCACGCTCTTTGAATAATCTTTTTGTTGCGGTCATTTAACTGCATGAAATGTTATGACGTAGTTGAAGCATATTTTACTTCTCTTGTCAACTGTAGCCCAATTACTTTCGGTTTGGTTTTTGTTAGAAGTGTAAAGGTGCATTTGCCTGACAAAACTGCAAACTAATTATGAAAAATTATTGTGTTCTGCCAACACTGTAAACAGTTCGCCAGGATTAACAGTGCTGATATTCCCTTTTTAGCTGTTCCATGTTCAAAATTCTGAATATACTTCTGTTGTCTGTAACAAAAAGGAATCTCGAAGGGATCCAGCCGAATTTCCATAAAAAGAAATTAAATGAACTGTACCTTGCCATTTCCGTTGTGAAGATCCAAAATATCAGCAACCTAAACGAAGCCATATTATCTGATAGATTTGCGGCTAGATTTGTGCTATATAAAGTATTATTAACCATCAAACTCGAGCTCTAGTAAGAAGTTCAAATCGCAAACCAAACTGTGCAGTTAACATGAAAATTGAGGGGATTGACAAAATATGACGTAACATTTTGATGCATATTTAAATTAGTTTCCGAGTTCATGTTCGCATAACAATTATCGCTGGTGAGTCCAATTTTCCCGAAATTCGTTAGCTTTCAAATTTATGTCCACTAGGTTTCAGCCTTTCCTAGGTACCATACATTTTTCAAATTGGTCGCAGTCCCCTTATTGACTTTATCAGACCATTGATATCTAAAATACTGAAGATTTTCGAAAACCAGTCTTCATCAAATCTGTGAATGCCCGCTCGATGGCGTACAACATTGAAATTGCTGTTTTAGCCGACTTACTACCTTATGTAGAAGGTTTGAGGTTGCCTATCATCCAGCTGCCGAGATCTTTCTGTATTTCTGCTTTTGGAGTGGGATTCCTTTCAGATAATAGGATCGCGCATCAGGGGCCGGATTTCGATTTCCCAGACCCAGAAGAGTGCATTTGTTCATTTGTTCGAATTGAAGGACAGGAGCCATCTATGCGACCAATCGTTTAATCGCCAAATATTATGCTGGAAGTCATCTTCATGGGCAACACTCTTGGTGACCTTCCATTTTTTTACATCACCTGCAAACATTGCACACTCACAGTACAATTCCTGTGCACAATTTTTAACGAACGTGATACAGAAGTGTTATGACAGGGCCCTCTTGGCGCTTTAAATTATAAAATATATGTATTTATTAAAGGACGACTGAACGAGCTTGACTGGAGCCCTGCACACGTGCCTGAACCCATCGCCGCCT